CAGTAAAGCAACCATCTGCATAAGAACAACCCAGCTCACCAACAGAATGCCCGATCATGTAATTCGGTTTCACGCCAACTGCATATAGGATATCTACCAGACCGATCTACGTAATAATTATACAAAACCATTTATTGAAAAATAAAAAAAAATTTATATTGTTAGCGGGGTGATGTCATATATATTATTACTTGTATTGCCGCTATTCCTAAAAAGCAATTTATGATATTATCGTATATAGTTGGATCTTTATCGCATATAATATGCACAATATCGTAACCACGAGGTCTTAAAACTTCATCACATTTTTTTATTGATTCTGCAAATATTGGTATCTTCATCAGTGATTCACCTGAAAGACAATTTTGTATCTGTTTTATATGATATAACATCTATTTAAATATTTAAATAGAAACTTTTTAATACCCATTCCAGCCCATTGTGATCCCATTCCTGAAAAAACGAACCATATCTGTCGTGATTCAACTATTAAAGTATTTTGAATCGGCTCTATTAATTCTTCTGAATCAGCTGTTTCAAATTCTGGAATTACTGTATACCCAGAATACAGAAAACGTGAAAATGGTTTCTCAGTAATATCATTGACGAGTTGAGCTAGATCATTATCTTCTCTGTTCTCCTTCAACTAAAAAATAAACAGGTTAGAATTCACGATCATCTGATTTAATTAATTCGTTTGTAAAATAAAGTCATTACGACGTTAAAGATTGCCGATATCATCTCCTTAGTTCGACAAGAAGCTACAAAAAGTCGTGGCATTGTATCTAGTGAAATCTCTTTCCTCTGCTTCTCTTTTAAATTACGTTTTAGGATAATGTGAGAGAAACACCCATTACAAGAGGCTGTGTTGATGGCAGCATATCTATCCATCCAAGGTGTTTTTTTTGTAACGACTTTTACTCGTCCCTCCTGAAGGCATTTCGCATCTTCCGGAGGCTTATCATAATGAAGATTCGGAGGTAGAACTCCAGTCTCCATAGCAATTATTACCTGGAAATTACAAATGGTCTTTACGTATAATATTAAAAAAAATTAATGGCTTGTATATAAACGTTTTGAGGAGATTTACCTTTATGATCGAATTTATTGTATTATTATTGATTGTATGACCAATGTTTGACTTAATTGATCCTATCAGGAGAGGTTTAGAAGGACTTCGATCTTTACCATATACAAGATCAATTGCCTTTAATTCTTCGCGATCCATTAATTTGATCGCTGTGCCATCAGCTTCAATGTAAGTTACATCGCTTGGTTTTAGACCGCAGTCTTTCAACGTCTTCTTCATTAATTGCGCCTGAAATTCGGCCGTAGGGAACATACAATGGTTTCTTGGAATTGATTTACCATACGAAAGACAAATATTAACGACCTCGGCGTAAATACGCCTTGCGTGTTTCGCTCTTTGAAGAAAAATAGCTCCTATCGACTCGCTTCTCGAGAATCCAGAAGCTTTCTTATCAAAAGATCTATTTACCCCGTCGTCTGACAACAAACCTAAATAATGGAACAAAAAAACCAAAAAATTATTTTTTTCATTAAGAGCAAATTCTATCTTCCCTACTAAAATTTTTAAAAAGCACTCGAGAGATAACAATATAAGAAACAATTGCCTTTTCTTCTATATAATATGCAAGTATTAGAAGTAATTATTTCTGACATAGTGGTACGTTACCTAATTCAGACAGGTGGTAAGATGTGTGAGGATGCAGAATTAACATTCCACTAGTAATAATCGCGTAATCGCAATTTTCGGCCTTTAAAGCTTCATACGCTTTCTGAATAGCTACTGAACTTGATATGCAAGTTGCATCAATAGTGCAGCTGGAGCCAATCAAATTCATAGAAAACGAAATCCTGTTTGATAGCATAGCACGGCAAGACCCAAGTAGATTAAGTCCATTTTGCTAAAAAAATAAAGAACTCACACATCATTGAATCATTTCACATTTCGATTTAATCTCTTATATCAATCTATTTAATTACTTCTAATTTTTCGTAAAAAAGAGATTTATCTGACTCGGTTATAGTTAATGCCCCGTAAACATTTGTTTTCATGCCCCGTAGCTGTAAAGGATTTATTCCGGCATCAGTGATCGCTTCGAAAGTACTTTCTGTTGCTAATCTGGCTGCTGGTTCAATAAAGTTTGTCTGTTTTGTATTAATTCCAAAAAAAACGTTATCGAATTTCTGTATAGAAGGGATTAGTCCCACTCGAAGTGGAACTTCATCTAAATCTTTGAAAAAATAACAATTTATGGGACACATAAATAATGTTCTGTAATGTAATAGATTTCTAAATAGGAACTAATTTAATTTCTTCTTACCTAGCTTCCATTTCGCATGATCCGAAGTCAAGCAATCTTCTTCATTCATTAGATTCTTTATTAACTCGTTGATATTGTCACTCTTCGGAAATTTTCCGGATATTCCGGAAATGACAACTGCATTATCGTCCAAATCTTCTAATTTCATATTTGCTGAATGTTCCTACACGAGTAATACTATCAACTGAAGCTTCGCTCGCGATATAAGGCTATTTATTATTGCCGCTTTTTATTTAACCCCACGAATAAGTAAAATTAATATTTATATTTATGCGATTTGGTTTCACAACTTAAATAATTTTACATATTCTCTATTGTCTTTTTCACTATCTATTTATAAAATATTCTTCCCAGAACTAGCGATTATGCAATGACGTCAATTCGTATTTTAGAATTAGGTCAGAGTTATAAAGTAAGAACATTATTCCATGAATTTTTTTAATTTAAAATCTGTATAACGCGGACGTAAAAACGAATATATATTTCCATTTAACACGTGTCGTGCCGTCCTGATTTTGTCGACACTTCCGTTTTGATCGCGTATGGCGTATACATTTCCTGACTTAGGATTGTATTGTTTTTCTTCTAATTTATGCCTTGCAATCATTAAAATTGTATAAAGATCATCATTATCAAGAAAGTGATTTATAGTTTAGAATATATAAAACGTGAGAGCAATGAATGTATTTTCTAGGAATAATTTACCAAACATGTGACTAATTATTATTCTTTATTTTACTAGGAGAATCCAAACTGAGAACGGAAAGTTTAGCGTGGGGCGCACATGAGGAATGCGTGAAAAAGTTTATCTATAAATATTTATCAAATAGTTCAAATGCAGGGTTAGCATTTTTACATATATAAAATATAAAACAGCGTTGGATTGCGCTTGACATAAATTTAAATTCTAATTAATATTCTTTTTTAGTGACATCAGTGACATTTGGTTCTACAATTAGGTCAATTTAACAAGAAAAACTTTAATTCGTTGTATTGATCGTATAAACATTTCTAGCAGATATAAGTTACAAAGGTATGAACGATAATTAAAGCGTATTAAGAACATCTGGAAGATTTCCGAAAAAAGAGAATATCAATAAGTAATTGGAACATCTTATAATATAAGAGAATAATTTTCTCAGGTAGTTTGACGACATTATTTGTTGAGTTCTAAAGATAATTGTCGACTGAGAACCTTAGAAATTGAAAGACGAACTCATAATTCAGAACTTTGAATTCTTAAGAAATAAATCCGAACTTTGCAGAATCCTAAATCTATTCCGTTTTTGCGGAACTTTTAAAATCCAAACCTCGAACCTAAAACCAATTTCTATCGCAAACGGAGCGAGTAAAGAAACTCAAATTTGGAGGAGATTGAATAACTCGTAATCTATAAATTTAGAGCTCTTCGATTAGTGTTAACTCATCAGAGAACTAACTGTACGTGTTTTCTAATAAGAGAAATTGCAAGAATATGTAGAATCAAACAATATAGAACAACTGTTTTCCATACTTATGCTAATAGGTCGTTGGAACAGTTACATCTAATTCTGGTTGAATATTTTAAACAACTTATTAATAAAGAAAAAGAATTAGGACACACAAATAAATTTATATGAATATACATAAAGACACATGATTTACGCTGCATGAATTAGTATTTGGAAAAGTTACTCGTCTAACTAATGGATGTGTTCTTCTCAGAGACAATTTAGAATCGATATATTTGGATTATTATTCTTCTTTTGTAATCAAAATTCGTCTAACTTAGAAAATAGAAGGAATAGTGCATACTGAAGTTACTGACAAACATTTCACAATTTTCTCAATAAAGGTCACTTGTCCTATTAAAAGAAATATACAATGACATTGAAATCTCAAAAAAGTGACCTAGAGAAAAGAATTCGGCTTATCACTCTGTTGGCGTCTTAAAACATAATATTGTCTTTCCCTAACATTTTTTCTATCGTACGAAATAAGCGATATATTTAAGGGGCACACCTAGTGTGAAATTTTGAAAAAATTAGTTTTTGTTTTTTCATATTTTGATAGTGTATATCTTTAAAAATAATAAACTGAAATTTCAAATAAATATTTCAAATAGTTTTAGAGTTACAGCCTTCTAAAGAGTAGCCGCTCAGGGATTAGAAAGCAATCATTTTATCTTTGAACGCGTTTTTCTCAAAACTGCATTTTTCAAATTGGCTGCAGTTGTAACTCAAAAAAGAATCATCTGATCACTTTGATTTTTTTTCTGCTTGTTTCGTATATGTTTCTCTGTACAATGACCTAAAAGTTTTTCGATTGTATAAAAAATGTAATTTTGGCGGGTCAAAAATCGTCAAAATTTTGAGCAAAATTCGATTTTTTTTTTTAAAAGTCTAACATTTTGTTAAAATTCAATTTTTGTTCACAATTTTAGGTCACTGTATAGGCAATACCTTCTAGATTAACAGTATATTTTTTTTTTATTTTTAATATTAGGCCCTGTTTTTTTAGTGACTTGGGAGATAGCGATAACTCGCTGAAAATTACCTTTTTTTATTTGAATATTTTAGTGAATATTTGTTAATTATGTATAAATATATCCACTAAATTTTAAAATATTTCTTGCAGTAGTTTTCTTTAAAAAAATTCCCAAAAATCACCTTTTTTTTAGGCGGTCACACTAGGTGTGCCCCCTAAAGTGTTCTAGTTAGGTGAATGACCCTATATAGTACAAGCATATTGTACAATATTATGTATATTATTACAATATAAGTGTTCAATAAAATAGAATATATTTATGTATAGTATCCTAGAAAATAATCTTCGTAAAAAGAACTAACATTTTAGCCTAAAAATAAAACTATTTTAAAAAATTAAGTATTTTTACTCCTTTGTATAAAATAAATTTTTAAAAATATTCCTCAAGTCTTAAATCTCAATCTCCTTTTTAACTTTTGCCCTACAGAGATATTTTTTTGTTTCTCATTTAAATAGCATAAAATTTTTAGCATTATACGATTAATTTTCTATTCCAGCTAAAATAATTTTTTAAAGAACTCGTACCTTTGTAGACTTTATGCATAAAAAAATTCCTATTCTTTATAATTTTAACAGATTTTTAGTTATTGTAATTTAGGAATCTATACAAATTTAACATTAAGTCAAATAAGCATTTTTATGTAACTTCTGAAAAAATATGTATAAGTTTGTTAAAACGAATGTAAAACTTTTTAACCTCAAAAGTTTTTCTATTGTTGCGAGCTGGCCCGAGTCGTCCTGCAAAGAAAGGCGAAAAAGCTATTTACAGACGACCCGTTTGTTCATGGCGGAAAGCTTAAGGAAGAATTTGGCGGAAGGCCGCAGCGTACAGACGGGTCGGAAGAGAGATCGCGGGGTTTGATTAGAAAACCAAGCTCATTATATTGTTGTTTTTGCAGTATTCATAAAATTGTTATTCACGTTTTATCCCGTGTCTGGGGAATTTTACACTATTATAAGCTTTTCTACAAATCTCGAACATTCTGTAATACGGATTTTTTATCCAAAATGAAATTAAGCAATTTAACTTCACTAAGAACCAAGAATTTTTGCTACGTCTGTTTTAGTCGATATGCATTTACCAAATACATATAGCCAGGACCAAGCAGGTTCCCTTCACCAATAATTAAATAGCGATAAAAAAGAAAGGCAAATAATAAGTACTAAGCTAATTTATTTATTAATAATGACTTTATTAATGTCAAAAGAATTTTGGAAGGTTAGGAGTAACAAATAAATAAAGTCGACAGGCCAAGGTTTCCCAGGAGGTTACTGTCGGATTGTTGATGAAGAATGAAATTAGTTTTTTGCGATTATTAACGAAAGTAGATGAGGTGAAAATAGAGACTGGAATGGTAGATAGTTAGCGAAAATTATTGCTTCAAAGTTTATATTCCTTATATTCTTAGATAAATTATCATATTAATAACGAATAAAAAAAACTGGAGTATGTATTTATGTACGCACGTAAGAAGTTATACTTCTTTAGCGTACAAAAACAAATATAACCCCTTAATAACTTCAAAAATAACTTCAAAAAAATAATTTAAAAAAGAAAAAACATCAAAAAAACTCTAACTATCCCGCGTGCCAATATAATACTTACCCTAAATTTGTCAATAAGACGATAAAATGATTAAATAAAATAAAGATTTTTAATACAATTGATAAAGGTTTATACATATTATATATACTAGCAGTCCCGGCTACGCTCTGCTGTGGCTAAGGTTTACGTTAATTCATATTATAGTAAACTATTCAATACAGTGAAATGAATATTTACGAATAAAGACGAAAACATTATAGCCGGTATAAAAATCCACGGGATTGAGATTTGAACTTAAAATCAAAATTTGAAAACGATTCATGATATTAAGCACAAATCAATATAAAATGAAGAATTTTAAATTTGATTAATCTTACATTTAAGTTTGTAATAAATGAGTAAGTTACAAAGTTTTTATATTTAATTTTATATATGAAGTAGGTAGTGAAAAACTGCCGGGCTAGGGATTTTGTTAATTTTAATTTAATTCAACACTAATCGGTGCACAATATTCTTGGTTAACCTGTCTCTAGCTAACACAAATAGATTCGATGGTTTTCCCACACGTAAGCAGGCAACATATAGTTGCCCATGGGAAAAACATGGATTTTCCAAATCAAAACCGCAAATAGGCATTGTTTGGCCTTGAGACTTATTTATAGACATGGCCAAAGCTAAACGAATGGGAAACTGTAACCTTCTGAAGGGTATCGTAGATTCTGACGGTATCATTGAAATACGTGGCAACAGGATCACTTCTCCTTTAAATTATCCAGTCAAAATTGTTGCTTCAAAAATATTTCCGGTGATTTTTTTTTGATCTCTTTTTTTCCCCTCGTTACACTTATATCTAACCTTCTAATAATTATACTTCTTATATATTTAATTTTTGCTAGGTAACTCACACACTTGCCTTTTTCTATTCTCCTTCTTCTTGTCTTTTTTTGTTTATCTCTATGTCTTGTTACTCCCTGTTGCCAAGAGTAACATTCAACTGCGCTACCACGGCAACTTCAATCACAAAAAAAATTTGAAGCGATAAATTTCCTTACACCACCATCTGTTAGAATTTTATG